TCCCTTTAACTTTGTTTCAATACAGACATTTGGTCGGCTGGCTGTGTACTGGCCGAGCTGCTACTTGGACAGCCGATTTTTCCTGGTGACAGTGGCGTAGATCAGCTTGTTGAAATCATCAAGGTAATCGTGTATGTGTGTTTTCATAAATAATCTTAAAATTTTGATTGCTTCAACTCTTGTTATTGCTGACGTGTCTCATAATGCACTTTTCTAGAGTTTGAGCAATGTGAAATGCAGTTATATACATTTTTTTCTGTGGAGCTCTCCTAGTTTACAGCCGAATCCTCAAAGCACTTCAAAAAAAAAAAAAAAAGTCTTCATATAAGTTAAGCCTTGTTCAGACCAAGAATATCTATAAACTAGTGTCGTTCTCATCATCAAAAACGAAAATTAAAAAACTCTTTCATTAATGTAATTACAACAAAATTGAATTAAAACGAAAATGTAAATGTTACCTTGAGAGTTAAAGTACAAAAATTACTAAGAAGTACAAAAACTGAAGAAAATAAAAAAATCTAAATATTAATAAATACTATAACAGTATATTGATAATAATAAAATAACACTGCTATAAAGATAAACTATATTACCATCCATACCAATGGCCAATAATGTTTATTCTGAGCGTGTACTTCAGTTATGTTCTGTGAACGTAATTGCAGCGCACTTTCAAGTTGGAAGTTTTTGAATGGTTGTCAGTTTTACATTTTTACAAATTTGCTCTGAAAGTGACTCCAGCTGTGTTGTTTCTCTGTATTGTTATAGTTGCGGTGTGGACTATATATTTTAATTGCAATAGAATAATAGAACTTGTTTTCTCCAGGTGCTGGGAACTCCTACACGAGAGCAGATCCGGGAGATGAACCCAAATTACACTGAATTCAAGTTTCCACAGATAAAGGCACACCCGTGGACGAAGGTTAGCATGAGTGTTTCCACTTTCATCCTTCTCTTTTCTCCTTACTTTAATTCTAGACTGTGATTCTGGTCTATATAACCTTCTTATTTTACATGTTATGTTATGAGTCTGTCTTAAAGAGTATTTTCTACCAACACAATTGTACTTTAATTTCACCCCCGTGACTTGTTTAAAACAAAGAGTACAAATCTATATCAAAAAATAATTTTTTTTGTGTGCAGTCAAAAGTTAAAATTATTATACAGAAGTTTGTATACAGCATTCAAAAGTCCTGTGTTGTTGTCCATGTGTTAGGTTTTCCGGCCCCGGACCCCTCCGGAGGCGATAGCTCTGTGTTCCCGGTTGTTGGAGTACACTCCTACGTCCCGATTCACTCCTCTGGAGGCCTGCGCTCACACTTTCTTCGACGAGCTCCGTGAGCCCAACCTCAAGCTCCCGAATGGAAGAGAGCGGCCTGTGCTGTTTAATTTCACTACACAGGGTATGCTGCACACAAATGCACAAACGATGATGATTGATTGAATCTTTTTGAGGTATTGTAACAAGTATTAACTCATTTTAATAGCAAATATACACCACTATTCACATATTTGGAGTTTGTAATATTTGTTATGTTTTTGAAAGTCTCTTAGGCTCAGAGATAATTTGATCAAAGATGTGGTAAAATATTATTACAATTTAAAATAACTGTTTTCCATTTGAATATATTTT